TTATGTCCTTATGGCTTCCTTTAAGGAAGCTTCTGGTTCTCCTGCAATTCACACATTCCTTCACCCAGTAGTAGGATTATTGAGTTAGAGTTTAAGAGCGTATATAGTTTTGTTAGGCACATCCAAATTTTCCCATGAAAAACTTTTATTAGTTTTCAAGTCTAATATCAGCGTATGAGAATTTCTCACAGGCTTTTCTTTTTTAAAATTAATTAATTTTCGTTTTATATAGGAGTGTTTTCCTGAATATATGAAAGTGCACTGTGTGTAGAAGTCCTACTTGACTAGTGCCAAGAAACTGAGATTAGAGCAGGAGAGCTATGGCTTTGCCACTCATGAATGCTTCCACTGCCCTCCTGAGAGCCTTTATCAGAAGCTTGGTGTTTGAAGTTCACACCCCGGAGCATACATATGATAAGTGCTCAATTGGTACAAAACACAAAGGAATTTTCCCATCATTGTAGTAAGAAAACAGCACAGTGAGCCCAGGGCCATGGTGACTGGCCCAATAACAGTCTTCCTTTGATGCATGCAAAGACAGGTGGGAGGCACATGACAGACCACCTGTTACCAGTGTTCCAGAAAACGGATGTCTTGTCCTTCTGCTCCCAACATTCTAGGAGCAAACTCTCCCCTCCTCAAGCCTCTGTTAACTCTTAGTGAGCCACTTGCAGCCCGGGCTTGACTGCCCCTGGCCAGGTGGAGCTCCACGTCCTTGGTGCTGCAATGTGCTGTCAGCAGAGATTTGTAGGGAAGAACAGAGGAGGCAGAAGGGAATGTTTGGGAGGAGGAGGAATGCTTAGTAAAGTGCTTGTTAACTTCTCAGACAGGGAACGAGAACTAGAAAGTTGCAGCAGCGGCAGCAGCAGCAGCAGCAGCAGCAGGATTTTAACTGGGATAGATTGGAAAGCCTGTGGACAAAGGACAGAATGAACAGCAGACAATCTCAGAGGACAGAGTTTACTAGAGTTGCCAATATAATCCCAGAGCAGGGACTAGCACCACTCACATGCCATAGGCAACTAGGGCAGAAGAACTCTTCCCAAGGGAAGAGGTGAGTACCCTGAGTTGACTACCAGTTACCACTAAGCCAGAATGAGCTCTGAGGAAAGATGAGCTCTTCTGTCTTTGAGACAGATAAGAAAAAGACAAGCAGAACAACAATGAGAGGACCACATTAATAGGTCTAGTCTTAGGTATATTATCTCCAAGGGAAGCATTCAATAATTCACACAAAAGTTCAGCAGGCCATGCATTCAAACATAACCAAATCTCAATTTCTCCTGAGAGACAGACCCAGAAAACTTAGAGTACTTGGCTTTTGGCATTCCGATATATTGCTAGAGGATTAAGGGAAAGTTTTTTTGTTATTATGGTTCTCTTTCTGTAAAATCTTTTGATCATCTACCTCTGAAGGAGCAGGCGTCTGTAAAAGTTGAGTAGCCAAAGTTATAAGATTATATAGGGACCAAATATACAAAGGAATGACTTTACCCTGTCTGTGTGTTTGTTGAAAAGCTCACAGCATATCTTTCCATTGCTGCATGCAACATGTACTTTAAGTAGCCAGAGGCAATATTTATCTGTATATCTAAATAGCTCTTAAAAATACTCCTTTTGTACTTTAACTCTCAATGTTTTAATCATTGTGTAGAACAAACATAAGCACTCTTCTCGTTTAATTGCACTTTGTCTCACGGTTACCCCAGCATCCTGGTGTGGGCCCCATGTGTGCTTACCAGGGCAACATAGATCTCCAGCATTTCTGGGTGGATTCTCTATGCTTAAATGGTTGGGTTCCTGTTTGAGTGCCACGTACAGACAATCTTCTTGACTAGTGCCAAGAAACAGATTTGACCAGGGGTCCCCTGGCTTTCCAGCTCAGGTATGCTTTCACTGCCTTCCTGAGAGCCTTTGTGTTTGAAGTTCACATACAGTTTACATTTGAGAAGTATTCAAGCAGTGCAGAACTCATAGGAATTTTCCCATCATTATAGTAAGAAAACAGCACAGCATGCCCAAGGCCATGGCTACTGGCCCAATAACAGACCTCTTTGGATGCACACAAAGATGGGGAAGGGGCATGGCAACCTGTCCCCGGTGTTGTAGCAAACAGATGTCTCTCAGTCTGCTTGCAGAGTCTCTCCTCCTCAAACCTCTGCATCAACAAAGCCAGAAGAAGTCTGCTAACTCTTAGTGAGCTAAGTGCCAAGAACCTTTTAACTATTAATGAGTAGAGCACTGTTATCCTTATGGCACAAATGGGGGTAACTACATGTGTGCAATGTCTGCAGAGACCAGAAGAGGGCATCTGGAACTGGTGTTAATGACAGTTGTCAGCTGCCATGTGAGTACTGGGAACTGAGCCAGGGTCCTCTGCAAGAGCAGCCAGTGCTCTTAACCACTGAGCCATCTCTCCAGCCCCTCTCCAGAATTTTTAACAGAAAATGGTGCCTTTTTAATTTTATCTATATGTTACCAGAGACTTGAGTGGTAATTCGGTACTCTCTTAATATACGCAAGTGTAATTGTCACTAAATTTGGCATTTTGTTTGAGGACCTTTCCATGCATTTTTGTGTATATTGTTAAGTCATATATTTTGTCTTTTTTGGTGTGTTATAATGTGTATATACACTGTGTGTTCAGGCACAATTTGTTTTTGCATGTTGCAAGTCAGAGTGTGATGTTGAGATGTCTTCCTCAGTTACTCTCCACCTCATTATTTGAGACAGACTCCCTCACTGAATCTGTAGTCCTCTGTTTTTCCTGGGCTAGTGTAGCAGTGATTCCTCAGGATCTACCTGTCCCTTACCCCACCTGAGATTACAAATTAACACTCCCGTGTCATGCTTTTATGAGTTTATTTTTGTTTGTTTTGTTTTTTTCTGTTGTTGTTGTTGTTTGGTCTTTTTTAGGTAGGGTCTCCCTGTAGCCCCAGCTAACCTGGAACTCGCCACATAGACGAGGCTGGCCTTGAACTCACAGAGATCCACCTGCCTCTGCCTCCTGAGTGCTGGGATTAAATACGTGCACCACCATGCCCAGCAAACAGACACAGCTTTGGGACCGCATCCTGCTTTTATGTTGGTGCTGAGTATCTGAGCTCAGTTCCTCATGCTTACACAGCAGCTCTTTACATATGAAATCTTTCCAGGCCCTTTTCCCATTTTCATATGAAATTTCTGGTCTTTTGCCCTTCAAATGTAGTGTACTATATGTACTTAGCATATTATCCAATTGTCTGACGTATATACTGCATACAGATCATCATGCTTTGTCAGTTATCTTTTGTTTTAATTGTTGTTTACATTTTGAAAACTTTTTTATTTTCTGGCAGCCATAGTGATCATTATTTTTCCATTGCCTCTAGATTTTAAGTGATATTGAGAAAGCATGTCCTATGATGTGGTTAAAAACAGTTGTTAATTCTTTAAGAAGCAATATGGCTTACCTTTGTGCTTAGATGTTGAACACATTGCAGTTATTGATTACTTGACATGTTTCATCGATCAACTTCAAGTATTCTTGCTTCTCAGTTGATCTAGATTCATATATTTATTATGTCAATATTTAGTAGTTCTCTGTGCTACCCTTATTACATACAGTTACATTGGTACTGACTTCTAATCCTAGGTTTTCTAAACTATTCCATGAGCTAGTTTTCTATCATTACAGATATATTTAATCATTTTTAAATTTAGGTTTGTGCATATGTGAGTGTGTATGTTCACATGAGTGCAGGTACTCCTAGAGGTCAGAATTCAGTACCTCTGTAGTTGGCATTCTGGGCAGTTGTGAGCTACCTGATGTGGGGACTGGCACCTGAACTTAGGTTCTCTGTAAGGGAAGTATGCTGTCTTAGCCACTGGGCCATCTCTCCAGCCCTGTTTCTCTATTCTTGCACAAGTGCCATGATGCTATAATTACAAAAGGTTTATCATAAATTCCTTGTCTAGTATGATAAGTTTCTTCTCATATATTTTCCTTTTCTCCCACTGCTTAAGTCTTTATCGAATGTACCTTTATGTATTTATTTTTATAATCAGATTACAGAACTCAGTATAGTGTTTTCAGAGACTATTGAAATAAAGTTCAATGGATGCATTAATTTAGGAAGAACTGACATCTTTCCAATGATGAACTCTTCGGGGATAAATCAAGTTGGAATAGTTTGGGGACCTTTAAAATAGAATCTAGAACACTTAGTAAGCCACGTCAGGCACATCCAAAACTGTTGCTTTTTAACTACACAATTTATTCACATATTTACCTAGGATCAGGCATAATTTGTAAACTGGCAGGATCTAAAAATTTTTGAAGACATTTTGTTAGTAATTGTACCAAACCTCAGACTCTGTAAAATCAAACCTCAGACTTCCCAAGAATACCCAATTCCCCCTTTGGTAAGAGTTTAATTTTTCTGATGTAGGTTTAGGTTTATTTGAAGCCCTTAATCATCTTCATTCATGTGTGTCTCTGACAGTTTTGATTTGTCTTCCTCTGCCACAAATATAGTGATGGGAGTGTGAAAATCATATGATGGAATGTCCTACTTTTTCTCATTAATCATCATTAATTTGACGACTTAATATTTTCAGTTTCCAAGATAATGAAGATGGTGTCACGTATGTGTACATTTATCTTTTCCTTTCTGATAGCTTGTATACGATGGAGAGGAAATATTGGGAGCCAGGTAGCTAAGTGACCAAAATTGTCGTCTAGTAACTTACTGCTAATTTCTAATAGTATTTTTATTATTCAGACACATATGTGTATGAGGGTTGATTATATATACATGTACACAAAATTTGACCATTATGTACTCAAAGGTCTATTTAAAACCTGTGCCTTAAGTAGAGGTAGCTGAAAGTGGCTTTTGAACGTACCACAAGCTTATTTCCTAAATATTCCTACATTGCTAATACTGGTTGTAAATAAGAGATGTTGGATTTCTATAAGGACTTCTAAATGTTTTTAACCCTGGTACAGGTTGATTACGATGGACTCCCAAAGCCCAGCCACACTGTTTGCTCTTGCTGTACAGAGTCTACTGAACAGTGAGCCTGAAGTGATCCATGCTCTGCAACACATCCCAAGAAGACTTTTTGTTCCATTTTTCAAGGCTGCCTTCATGGGTGGGCATAAGAATATTATTACAAGGATGGTGAAGATTTGGCCCTTTACCTGTCTCCATATGGGGACATTAAATGTACAGGAGCCACAGCATGAACTCTTGAAAGCCATGGTTGAGAGTCTTCCGGTCTTTCCTAACCAGAACTCAGATTTTCGGTAAGACTATGTATAATAGAGTCATGGTGACAAAACAGAATGTTATGCTGCAGCTTGGTATTCTCTAAGAGATAGTTGCTTGCTGAAAAAGAGCATGAGGCCACTGGCACAGCACTTGGGGTCACTTTAAAAACAGATATATTGCAATGTTGGATATGGAATGCATGTAATTGGGGGTGCTATTGATAGTATAAACATAAGCAGGAGAGATAAGGACTGTTAATGCACAGAAGAATGAAATCAGTGAGTTGGAGTACTGATGACTGGATGAGAATGAAGGATAGAAAAAATAATGAATAATGTTGAATTTCAATGGTATTAACTTGTTGGTAGTATAAGAAGTTCAGACCAAGCAAGAATAAAGGGAATGTTCTGAACCTATGGTCATGGGTAGGCAAAAGTTGACATTGACAGCACTGGTAGAGATTGGGGCCCTTTTCTATCTCTATTTCAGAACAAACAGTGAACTATTGAAAGCCAAGTTGGAAGATTTTTTGGTCCTACCCGCTCAAACCTCCTCTTATTATTAATTTCTAATAGCATTTTGTGGGTTCTATTAGAGTTCACTGCCTCTCAGATATTCTGTCTTCTCTTTGTCCCTGCAGGAGCTGTGAACTGAGGGTCCTTGATTTAAGAAAGGATGATGGCTGCAAGACTGTATGCTCTGAAAGCAATGATAAGTCAGTGACCTGTTTTCATGCTTGTGCTTATTCTGAACACTCTATCTTGAAAAGAGAATCCCGATGTAATGTTGTAAATTCAGAATCTGAGGGTCAGTCTTCCAGGCAGCCTATGGAATTACTAGTGGACATTTGCCTCAATGGTACCCTAGGGGAAGATGAATTTTTGTCTTTTCTTCTGAGTAAAGCAAAGGAGAGTTTAGGTTTCTTGCACCTCTGCTGTCGAGATTTGCAAATTTATAAATTGTGTAACTGCAAAAGTACCTTGAGTTGCCTAGATCTGCAGTGTGTTAAAGAACTGTCATTCAATCAGGCTTCTCTGAGTGAAGTCACTAAAATTTTGTCTCAGGTGGTCCAGTTGGACAAACTTAGCCTGTCTAAAATCACTTGTAAATCTTTGAATGGGATAATCTGTGGAAATTTTACTACTCAGCTAAGGCGTATGGACCACCTCAAGGAGCTCAACTTGTCTTTCTGCTTGACAGATCATCTTGAAAATATCTTGAGGTGAGGGCTTGGAGTGGGCACTTGGGTTTAATGAGCAGCAGGCCTGTTTCTTAAGACACAGGAGAAACCATTCTTGGGTATTACATACCTCCACAGAACCCTTTTCTTCTTCCACCTCAGTGTAGTGTGGGCTCTGCAGAGAGTATAAATATAACCAGGAGAGATTGTCTTTTTTCCTATTGAATAGCAATAAAAAATTACAAAAAAAATGCTAGCCACCTAACTTGGTGCAGACATTGTGTTCATTCCAGCGATATAAAGGTGAAAATAACATGCATTCCTTCTCCAGCCTTCTAGAGATGAAGAGGAGGAACTGAGATGGAGAAATATTTTATACTGTAGCATTGATACACAACATAATAGCCAGACACCCACAGTTCATAACATCAGATCATTTTGCCAATCTGTTAGCTCCAAGATTTAGGCCATGAATGTAGAGGTCGTCGTTTAGGAACTGGACAAAGGGAACTTCAGAAAGTTGGTTGCTCCCTAAGTCCTTTCTCCGCCAAGCAGGTGACTTAGTTCCACTTTTGATTATGCTGTAAATACCAAATCAATATTTTTGAATAAATCTTTCACACAGCCCTCTATAATAATAGATTGCTTCCATTCTTAGAGTTAAACTATTATTTGTCCTAGTGAAAAAAGATTCTTTTCCTAGCGCTTACATCTCTTTAAGTTCATGTAAGCCCACTTTGTTAGCTGCTGCAAAATTATATGTGCAAAATAGTTTATTCTAGATTCATAGGAATAGTTTCCCTCAGTCCAGTCCTCATTCTTCATAAACGCTCTTCTCTTTTCTCCCTACAGTGTCCTGCCATCCGGTTTGGATTTCTTGAGCCTGAATTCCTGTCGGCTGTCTCACAATGACTTTAAATTTCTGTCCCAGTGCCCTCAGGTCAACCATCTAAAGCAGTTAAATCTTAGTAACAACCGAATATTTTCGGAAGATTGTGAGTCTTTACACACTCTCCTTCAGAAAGTTTCAGGTACCCTGCAGCATCTAGCAATAGACTATTGTCTCTTAACAGATGCTACACTCCCTGTTCTGATTTCATCAATAAGCCACTGTTCCCATCTTCGTCTGCTTAGATTTGGCTGTAACCCCATTACAATGCCTATGCTAAAGAGAGTTATGCAGCACTTAACATGTTTGATGGAATTGAAATATGTGGTATATTCTCTCCCTGTGCATTGCTATGGAATATGGGATTTTCTGGGCAGGTTAGACCCACAGAAGTTTGCTGAAGTGAAAGCAGAAATAAGTATGATGCTACAAGTGGCACAGCGCAACGATATGAAATGGATTACTTACTTTGAGGAAATTTAACAGTTAAATAGCTTTGACCTTAAATGGGGATTGCTAAGTACCCACTGTTCTTTCTGGACCCCCTAAGATTGTTATGTTGTAGGAAACTATGGTTTGGAAGTATGGATGTGTAATTTGTTTCTGTCATGTGTTGAAAAGTCAACATTACTGTATTTCAATGACAGAATAAGAGAAAAAAATCATACGCAATGTTTTTAAACACATTTTACTGTATTGTAAAGATAAAATGAGAAAATTTAAACAGCAAAATGTTCATAATAACTCCATGTTAAATGATAGCACACTGGATTTGAGACAACTCAACAAAATGTTAAAATTTACAGAATTTTGTTTGCAGTACTCACACTTTGAATTGATGTTAAAGTATATTTTAGAGATATGAGTCAATAAAAATACGAAATGACTTAAAGGCTGTTTATACTGATTATATTTTTGTGAGTAATGATTATATTTCAAAGTTAAGAAAAACTAAAATAACATTTACAGTTCTAGTATAGTATTTACTTAATATCACATAGAACTTCAAAGACATAGAAGAAGCAAGAAGGAAAATTAACATTATTTATAGTTTTCACATTGCTTTTATTATATGATAATATAAAGTACTTCAAAGTGTATTAAATTTTTAATGTAATTTGAAGTTGAATTATGTTGTTTCCAGTATTACTTTGATTTTTGGCATTTGGGGTTAAAAGTATTGTTGAAACTTAAGTCCCGCTGGGATTGGTAGTGCAAGCCTTTAATCCCAGAACTTGTCACAAACAAACGAACAAACAAACAATCAAACAAACAAAGATGGGCTGGAGAGATGGCTTAGCACTTAAGAGCACTGGTTGCTCTTGGAGAAGATCAGGGTTCCGTTCCCAGCAAACACATGGCAGCTAACATAACTCCAGTTCCAGGGGATCTGATGCCCTCTTCTGGCCTCTGCGGGCATTGCACAACGTTCATGCAGGCAACACACTCATACACATAAAATAAAAATAATAAATAAAATATTTAAA